TCCTAGCTCGCTGCCCCACTGAGCTCACCATTGCCCTCCTCGAGAAGGAACTCCTTGCAGCTGCGGCTAGCATAGTCGCTGTAGGTGCCTCTCGTGGCGACCCCCGTACCCCGTTCTTTCAGAGGTGTTCTCCTTCCCCCCTTCTTCCCTCTGTCGCCTCTGCTGGTGCTGTCAACCTCCTTGGTGCTGAGAAGGTCGGGACTGCATCTGCTTCGAGCGGGCGCCGCAGCGGCAAGGGCAAAGGGGGCAAGGGCGGTGGCGGTGACAGCGGGGGAGGCGGTGGTGGGGGCGGTGGCGGCGGTGGGGGTGGTGGCGCGACTGGAGGGGCTAGTGGCAGCGGTGGGGGTGGTGGCGGCAGCGGCGGGGGAGGTGGCAGGGGCGGAGGCGGTGGTGGGGGTGGCGGTGGACGCGGCGGCGGCAGGGGTTGGGGTGGTCGAGGAGGTGGCGGCGGCGGTGGTGGTCGTGGAGGCGCTGGCGGTGGCCAGGGCCAGCAGCACACTCCGTCGCCCCAGGAGGTTCGTGAGTGGTACTCTCAGCACGGGGGGGGGGGGGGGGGGTGGCTTTAGCTGCACGTACGTCATTCGCACTGGTGACCGCACTGGTCAGCCGTGTGGGGGACCGCACGCCACACAGCGCTGCTTCGCTCGTCTCAACGACGCTTGGCGTGTTCAGTTCCCTCAGGCCACTGAGCTGCCCCGCTGGGTTGATCTCCTGAAGAAGGGGATTGATATCTATGCTCTAGACTTTGATGCTATTCTCACTGCTATGTATGTGATGTCTACTAGTGGAGAGGGTGCTGAGTACCTGTGTGTGCCGCCCGACTCGGGCATTAGGACTAGTGCGTCTCCCGCTCCAGGTACTCGCGTGTCTGCTACCCCAGGTTCTGGTGAGGCAGCTGCTCTAGGTCCTTGTGCGTCTGCCCCCCCTGGTACTGAGTCGACGGCAGCACTGCACACCTTCACACTGGACTCAGGTGCTTCTCGCTGCTTCTTTCGTGACCGCACTGCCCTTGAGCCGCTTGCTCGGCCAGTTGCTGTCTCCCTCGCTGACCCCTCTGGGGGTCCGGTCATTGCGACCTCCTCCACTGTCCTTCCCTGTCCTGCGGTCCCGTCGGGCACACTGTTAGGTCTCCACCTCCCCTCGTTCTCTACAAACTTGGTGGCAGGTAGTGCACTCCAGGACGGGGGTGTTCACCAGTTCACCCCTGCCTACGAGCGCGTGACACACTGCACGTGTGCTCGTACGGGCCGCCACTTGGCTACCTTCACTCGGCAGCCGGGGTCGGACCTGTACACACTGACCACTGAGTCCCCTCAGGTCGCTGCGTCTGCGTCTGCGTCCGCGTCAGGTCAGCTGTCTGCCCCCTGCTCGTGTCGCTCTCTAGCGCACGAGACTGTCCTCTGGCACCACCGACTTGGCCACCCGTCTGTGCAGCGCCTTCGTGCCATGCACTCCCGGTACCTTGTCTCCGGTCTTCCCAGAGTCCTCCCTCCCCTCCCACCCTCGCCTGCTCCTCCCTGTCTTCCCTGCGTCGAGGGGCGGCAGCGCGCCGCTCCTCACTCCTCCTCGTTTCCCCCGACGACTGCTCCCTTGAAGACGCTCCACATGGACGTGTGGGGCCCAGCCCGCGTCCGTGGTCAGGGTCAGGAGAGGTACTTCCTGATAGTTGTTGACGACTACTCGCGCTACACCACGGTCTTCCCCTTGCGCACCAAGGGTGAGGTCCCTGATGTCTTGATCCCTTGGATCCGCACAGCCCGTCTCCAGCTCAGCGAGCGTTTCCAGTCGGACTTTCCTGTCCTGCGCTTGCACTCTGACAGAGGTGGTGAGTTCTCCTCCGACCTCTTGGCAGCCTACTATGCTGAGCACGGCATTGAGCAGTCGTTCACGCTTCCAGCCTCTCCACAGCAGAATGGGATTGCAGAGCGCCGCATTGGCCTGGTCATGGAGGTCGCCCGTACCTCCTTGATCCATGCGGCTGCCCCCCACTTTCTGTGGCCGTTTGCGGTCCGGTACGCTGCGCATCAGCTCAACCTCTGGCCCCGTGTCTCCTTGCCGGAGACCTCGCCCACACTGCTGTGGACGGGGGAGGTTGGCGATGCGTCGCGTTTCCGGGTCTGGGGATCTCGAGCTTTTGTCCGCGATACGTCTGCGGACAAGCTCTCCTCTTGTGCTCTTCCCTGCGTCTTCCTCGGCTTTGTCCCGGACGCGCCTGGTTGGCAGTTTTACCACGCCACCTCGCGCCGAGTCTTGCCCTCTCAGGTTGTCACTTTTGACGAGTCCGTCCCCTACTACCGCCTCTTCCCCTACCGCACTGCCCCGCTCCCCCCCCGCCTCTCTTCCTCGCGCCAGGTGCTGCTGTCGTAGACCCCCTCCCCCCTCAGGGTGCCGCTCCCTCAGGTGTGTCTCAGGTAGACCCGGTTGAGCCTGTTGAGGTAGCTGTCGACTCTCGTCCTGCTGTGGGTGCGGAGCCTGGGGGTGCCGAGCCTGGGGGTGCGGAGCCTGGGGGTGCGGAGCCTGGGGGTGCGGAGCCTGGGGGTGCGGAGCCTGGGGGTGCGGAGCCTGGGGGTGCGGAGCCTGGGGGTGCGGAGCCTGGGGGTGCTGAGCCTTGGGGTGCGGAGCTTGGGGGTGCTGAGCCTGGGAGTACTGAGCCTGAGGGTGCTGAGCCGCAGAGTCCGGAGTCTAGGGGTTCTGAGTCTGGAGGTCCTGAGCTTGAGGGTCCTACACCTGGCGGAGCCCTCTTCTCGGAGCAGCTGCGTGAGTGGTACTTCCAGTACTGCAGCCTCAGGAGAGGTACCTCTGGAGCCAGGCGTACTACTGGGACTGGTGCTAGTGCTTCTCCTCCTAGCCGGGAGCTCCCCTCCCGTGAGCGGATCCGTGAGTGGTACGAGCGGCGCTGCACTCTTCGGAGTGGCGCGCCTGGTGTCGCGGACCCCGCTGCTGCTGGTGGTGCTACTGGTGCTGTAGACTCTACTGGTTGTGCTGGTGCTGCGGCCCCAGAGGTTGGAGCTGTTTCTGGTGCTGCGGACCCGGGCGTTGGAGCTACGGCTGGTGCTGCGGACCCGGGCGCTGGTGCTGCTGCTGGTGCTGAGGACCCGGGCGTTGGAGCTGCTGCTGGTACTGAGGACCCGGGCGTTGGAGCTGCTGCTGGTGCTGAGGACCCTGGAGCTAGTGCTGCTGCTGGTGCTGTGGAGTCGGGCGTTGGAGCTGCTGCTGGTGCGGAGGACCCTGGCGCTGGTGTCTCTGCTGGTTCTGGAGTCGCTGCACGGCAGCGGCCGTACTTCGTTCCGCTCCTTCAGCAGGTTCTTGGTCTCCCGCCTTCTCTCGGTCCTCCTCCTCCCTTAGAGTGTCCACAGCCTGTCCAGTCACGGTTACAGTTAACGCTCGCCTCCCCACTGCCTGCTCCTTCTCCCTACACTGGTCCTACAGGAGGTCTTGCTGAGCGTCGTGAGCTTGCGTCTCGCCCTGCGTCGCCTATCCGTACTGCTCGCACTAGTGGTTGCGGTTCGCGTCAGCGTCCTCCTCCTGTCCCTGGCACGCACCGAATGTCTCTGCGTCCGTCCACTGCTCCTCTGCGTGCCCCTTTGCCTTCTCCTCCTGAGTCCTCTCTTCCTGCTCTTCCTGACCTGGAGTCGTACTCTCTTCGTGCTGCCAGTCCTACTGTCACGCGTCTCCTTGCTACTGTCGTCACTGACCCTTCTTTTGAGTCCACTGCTGCGTCTGCTCTAGATGCTGAGCTCGTCGACTTTGCTGCTCGCTGTCGTCTAGACTACGCTGCTAGTCTTGTCGCTGAGTCTGAGTCTGTCTGTCCTCCGTCCGTCGGGGGTGAGTGTGCCCTTGGCACGGACGTCCTTGAGGACAGGCAGGAGGAGTTCCAGTGCTTGGCCGCTGCTTCACCTCATCTCGTGTCCGTAGTGCTTAGGGCGCGTGAGGTCTTTGAAATTTGTAAAAGTTTATGTTTTTAGGGCAAATTTTAGTTTCGAACTTACAACGAAAGAAGTTCGAATTTCCTTCTATCGAAGTTCGAACATCGGGCTTACCACACTGTAAAAAATCACACACACATACAAGGTCGAACCCCGACATTCGAACTTGTAAAAACGAGCCGAGCCGCACGTCAACATCATAGGTTACCCGGTTCGCTCGTCTTGACGGTGCGCCACGTCAACATTTTGCGCCTCGGTTTACAAGTACCTAGAGCTCCAACTCACCTTCCGCGCCGAGTGTGTAACCAGGGTACAAATAGCCCCCGTGGCAACACCTTGTATACTCGTCATTCGCCCAACATGACAACCCTAAAGCTGGTCCGCTTTCTCGGCATCGTATGGCAGGGGTACTTGCAGATGGTGATGCTTCCCGTTCTCAACGCTGTTGGCACGGCACTCCCCACGCTCGTCTCGGCCTTCACTCTCAGGCAGACCCGGGTGTTCGTGCTTGGCGACCGCCTTGACGCACGTGTGCGTTGGTTTCGACTGATAACATCCCTGCCCGAGGACAATTTCTATGAGTATTTGCGGATTGACAAACGCGTTTTCGTTTACTTAGTGCGCCAGTATCAGCGCAGCCGTTTCGCTACACTTAAGCATCCTGTGCATAACTTTGTATTCGTCGCCATGGGACTTAGCAGGCTTGGGCATGGTCTCACATTTCGCGAAATTGGGCTTCACTTCGGCTACTCTTGGTCCCACGCCCACAAGCTGTTTGCGAGGTTCGTTTTTTTCGTCAACGAAGTCCTCCTGCCCTAGTGGGTCGTGTGGCCAGACATGGACATGATGCAGTTGTTCGAGACAGAGTTTCGCCTTCAAGCCGGAATACCTGGGGTGGTAGGCGCCATGGACGGGACCTACATACACTGCCGTGGCATGGGACCACATTGCGAAGACTTCAGAAATAGGAAAGGTTTCTTTTCTATTATTTGCCAACTAATCTGCGACAGTATGGGTCTCATCTGGGACTTTTTTGTAGGCTACCCCGGAAGCGTCAACGACGCTCGGGTTTTCATGAACAGCTCTGCAAGAACTAAAATTGAAGGAGGGATATTGGACTACACGCTAGTAGCGGACAGTGCCTATGGTTTGAGGCCCTACATCTACTCACCCTACCGTGCCCTTCCCGGTCGCGCACTTCCCGACGAGCAACGAGTCTGGAACCTCCAGCAGTCCCGCACTCGAATGATCGTGGAGCAGGTGAACGGGAGGCTGAAGACCAAATGGCGCATCCTGGACGGGCGCCTCGAGTGCGACGTCTTCCGCGCCCCGCAGGTCGTCTCCGCCTGCATCGTGCTTCACAACATCGACCTCATCCTCGACTTTCGTCACCGCCTGAACGAACCTCGTGAGCGCAACACTTGGTGGCTGGAAGGACCCGTTGCGGAAGCCCCGCATTTCTCGCCGCGCGATGCGGGCTTTACTCCGACTCGTCGTCGATCTCGCCTGGCGGAGTACTTCTACGCTTCCTGGAGGCTCGGGCATCCTGAGCTCTCTCAACCATCTCTTGGGTACGTTCTAAAAACTCATCAAATTGGTCCCGCATAGCCCCTTTTACCGATTGCGCAATTATCCCCGCTATTTCAGCACACAGCACTGAATCACTTGAGTTCATGTGGTTACCAACACCACCTCCCATTGTGTCGTTGCCCGAATGTTCCTCTTCGGCTGCCGCAGGCCCAGGCCGGCGGGAGACACCGCGGCCACGGAGCGCGACACCCGCGTTCGCGTCGACGACGCGTGAACGGGATGGAGATGCAGTGGCGGTGGCAGCGGCAGGGGACACGTCCGGCGCAAGCGCAGACGTAGACGGAGACGAAAACGGCTCGCGCGAAGGGGAGTGACCAGGCGAAGCCGTCACTCGGCGGGGATTGGGTGAGCGACGAGCCGACTGCGCTCGGCTTGCTGATGCCGCTACGCCATCGGGCCCTGCAGACATCGCTGATGCGGTGGTAGGAGACGCCACATCTGCCGGTGATGGGCGTCGCATAGGGGGGTGTTGGGTGGTTTCATTATTACATGCCACCTTGATGAATGGTTGTATTACTATCATCAATCTTAAATTACGAGCAGTTAAAAATAAGGATCACATCAAACAGCAATCAACACTTACTAGGAATGGTACGAGCCGGGGGAGGAGGCGCAGTAGTAGTTGCGGGAAGCAAGGGGCCCGCGAGCGCCGGGGGACGCGCATTCGCCCGATCCCCTAGGAACCTGTCGAAAATGTCATAGAAAATAGGCATTTTCGGGGGCTTCCCCTTCCCTGAAGGTTTGAGCACTAAATCCGACACCTTCCGCCAGTGAGCCTCCATCCGGAAAACCTTGGCTTTCGTGGCTGCGAGACCATGGCGCCATCCGGGGTGACGAAGACGGACTTGCTCGTAGAGCATGACGTCCCGGTTCTGGCCTTGTAGGCGGCACAGATTCCGATATTGCTCGTCGAAGTCGTGGCGGATCCACGACAGCTGCATGACTTCCGCCGGCTCCCACCCTTTTTTGTCGCTAGGCGTTGCTGCATCGGCGTCGTCGTCAGCACCGTCTTCGCCATCGCGGTCGATTTTGCCTACGTCGAAGTACGCGAGGGTGTCGTCGTATGCACCTAGAGGAGTGTTTGGGTTTGGTACACGCGCCACGATATCGTCCAGGTCGATAACTTCAAGGCGCCTGGAAGCGGCCGGATCGACGGCAGCACGCCGACGCCGCTGAGGTGCGGGTGCGCGGACCGGTGCAGCGACAGATGCGGGAGTAGAGGGTGCTGGAGTGGTAGCATCTGCCGGTGTGACAGAGCCATGGGCGCTAGTGTTGCCGTTTGTCATGTCGAGTGGACTTTGCGTAGACAGTACACAAGTGTTGAAGAAGGGTGGTATATTTGAATGTATCAAGTGCCTTCCACTCCCAGAGGATTTCAAAGACATTTGGTGCGGGGGACGTGGATTGGGCAAGGGCGGGAGTTTCTTTGACTGACGTCAAGACGGGCGGGACGCGTTGCCACATCGTGCTCGAACGTGCCACGATGCTGGACACGTGGCTACCACTGTGTGCACGAATTGTGGGGTGTCTTCGTTGTGCAACTTCATGCACTGGCGAAGCGCTCGCCCGTTTTGCCAGCTGTTCGGACGTGCTGCAAATCACACACGCTCGCATGAACGTGCGCACGCACGTTCGTGCCTCCGACTCGAGTCAAGTTCATATTTCAAACTCGAACTTTTGCAGAGCCCATACAATGCTTGGTTCGCGAAGCACCCTTCGCGAAATTAGCGAATAGGGTAACCACCTAAAGTTCGAACTTTATTTTGAACTTCTAAATAGACCACACGCGCCCTTACCCCTCAGGGAGACCCGGATGCACTTGACATCCCGACTCCGCGCTCTTACGCGGAGGCGATAGAGGGTCCCTACTCTTCTCAGTGGCAGGCAGCTATGGATGCAGAGATGGCTTCCTAGAAGTCCACAGGCACCTACGTTGACGCTGTCCCCCCTCCTGGGGCGAACATCGTCAGTGGCATGTGGATTTTCAGGGTGAAGCGGCCGCCGGGTTCTCCGCCTGTCTTCAAGGCGCGTTACGTGGCTCGTGGCTTCAGTCAGCGGCAGGGAGTTGACTACTTTCAGACCTTCTCTCCCACCCCGAAGATGAACACTCTTCGGGTACTACTGCACGTAGCTGCTCACCGTGACTACGAGCTACACTCTCTTGACTTCAGCACTGCCTTCCTGCAGGGCAGCCTGCACGAGGAGATCTGGCTGCGCCGCCCACTTGGCTTCACTTGGACTTTTCCTCCTGGCACCCAGTGGAGCCTCCGGCGGCCAGTCTACGGTCTCCGCCAGGCACCGCATGAGTGGCACGACACACTGAGGACTACGCTTGCGGCTCTTGGGTTTGCTCCCTCTACTGCCGACCCGTCGCTGTTTCTAAGCACCGACACTTCTCTGCCGCCGTTCTACATCCTCGTGTACGTCGACGACTTGGTCTTTGCCACAGCTGACACTGCTGGACTCGCCTACGTGAAGTCCGAGCTGCAGAAGAGACACACGTGCACAGACCTGGGTGAACTACGCAGCTACCTTGGCTTGCAGATCACCCGGGACAGAGCACGCCGCACCATCACCCTGACTCAGTCACACATGGTGCAGCAGGTCCTTCAGCGCTTCGGCTTCACGTACTCCTCGCCTCAGGCCACTCCTCTGCCTACTCGCCACTCGCTCTCAGCTCTGCCTTTGGATGAGTCCGTAGAGTCGAGTGGCCCGTACCCAGAGCTTGTTGGCTGCCTCATGTACCTGATGACCTGCACACGACCTGACCTTGCATACCCTCTTAGCATTCTCGCACGCTATGTTGCTCTTGGGATACACCGACCAAAGCACATGGCTGCAGCGAAGAGGGTGTTGCGCTACTTGTGCAGTACGTCGGGCATGGGGCTAGTGCTTGGAGGGCGTAGTCCAGTGGTCCTCACTGGTCACGCAGACACTTCTTGGGCTGACGACCAGGCTACGCAGCGGTCGTCACAGGGTTACACCTTCAGCCTTGGTTCCGGCTCTGTTTCGTGGCGGGCTACTCGCTCGTCTTCTGTTCTCGGCTCCAGTTGTGAGGCTGAGATCTACGCAGGGGCCATGGCTGCTCAGGAGCTTCGCTGGCTCACCTACCTGCTGACCGACCTTGGAGAGCAGCCTCGTTCTCCTCCAGTCCTGTACGTAGACAACAAGGCCATGCTGGCCTTGTGTCGAGAGCAGAGACTGGAGCACAGAACAAAGCACATTGCTCTCCGCTACTTCCTTGCTCGTGAGCTACAGCAGCGTGGTCAGTTGCGGCTTGCGTACGTGGCCTTTGAGGCCAACACTGCTAATATCTTCACCAAGGCACTTCCGCCTTGTGATCATCAGCGCTTCTGCACTCAGTTTGGTCTTGTACCTGTCTTGCCTCACTTGCTCACCTAAAACTTACTTGTACTGTTACATATATATATATTCCTGCTCTTGCTTGTCTAGCCTTATATACATATGTACTCCTGCATGTGAACTGGCCTTGTGGCCTTGAACTTGTGCTCGGAATGTGTGGTGACTTTGTGATCCACCCTGAGCTTGCTTTGCTTTGCTTTACTTGACTGGTCTTGTGACCCCTAGTTCTCCCCCACTTCGCCTATGGGGGTGTGTCAAACATTATATATGTTGTGCTTGTTTAGGCTACAGTGGGTTAGCCTATAGGGGGTACACAATTCTAGGGTTAGGTACTTGTACTGATTTCACTGCTAGTTCAATCATTCCTGTTCGTTCATTTCACTGTTAGGTACTTCTTCCCGCCGTGCGCCCCGAGGCGCGCGGCGGTTTTCTGCCCGCCATGCGCCCCGAGGCGCGCGGCGGTTTTTTGCCCGCCGTGCGCCCCGAGGCGCGCGACGGGTTTCTGCCCCGTCACTCGGCGCGTCGCCCCCGGGAGGCGCTGCGACGGGCGATGGGGACCCGCGTGTCGCCCCCCGTCGCCGCTCCTATCGGCCCCGAACTGCCGCCAACGGCCCCGTCGTCGCCGCCAGCGGCCCCGTCGCCGCCACTTGCGGCCCCGGCCCCGCCCTGACCATGCCTCGTCGCCAGCCGCGGCGCACCAGGGGCACGTGCACCCCCCCCCCCCCCCCCCCCCCTTTTCCCGTCGCCCGTCGCGGCTCCTTCGGGGGCCGCGACCTGGGGGAGGGGGGCGAGCGTCACCCCTTCTGCCGCCTGCTTTGGCGCCCTGGGAGGCCGCGCGTCGCCCCCCCCCCCCCCGTTAACTCTCTACCCGCCATCCCGCCTTGCCCTGTGTTCGGGTTTGGGGGTGGCGAGTGGGGGGTGGCGGGTGTATGGTCTCCCCTGCTCCTCCTCTTCCTCTGTCTCCCACTGCTGCAGCTGCCGCTGAGGGGGGTGGGTGTGTTGGAGTCGACGGAGTGGTGCTTGGGGGGTGGGGTGTGAGTGACCCTAGGGGTGCAGTAGGGGGTGTGTGAAATGGGGGTGGGATAGTTTGGGGAGGTTGAAGGGGGTGGCCGCCGAGAAGCCAGCAGCTCCAGTCGCCCGTGAGACCGTTGCGCCAGTCGCTCGTGAGCCCGTTGCGCCAGTCGCCTGTGAGCCCGTTGCTCTAGTCGCCCGTGAGTCCGTTGCTCGTCTGCCGCTACTTTTAGCCGCAGAGCCAGTTACTCCAGTAGCCCGTGTGCCAGTTGCTCCAGTTGCCAGTATGCCAGTTGCTCCAGTTGCCCGTGTGCCAGTTGCTCCAGTTGCGCCGTGTGCCAGCAGCTTCAGCTGCCGCCCACTACCTCCTCTCCTTTCATAGTCCCTCCTCCTCCACACTAGCCCTCTGCGATAGCCTCTAGCTTTGCTCATAATTGTGAACTTTAAACTATTGCTTCTTGAACTTGTGCTCAGAATGTGTGGTGACATTGTGATCCACCCTGAGCTTATACTGCTTTGCTTGCTCTGCTGATTACACCCCACTTTGGCTATGGGGGTGTGTCAGAATATTATGCTCTAGCATGTAGTGGGGTGCTCTGTAGCGAGTACAACCCTTCTAGGGTTTGCTATTTGTATCCTCATTCTTGCTAGTGCAACCCCCTTCTTTCTTCTAAACTTTCACAAGATGGTGGTAGGCGTGAGCGTGAAGCGTTTGGCGATGGTGTCGGCGTACTTAGTGGCGTTGAGGTAGATCGCATCTTCTTCCTCTCGAATGTTCAAGCCGAGGTACTGTGTGACGGTAGAGGAGACCGTGAGTGTGAGGTCCCTCTGTAACTCCCCTTCAAACCAGGTGGTGATGTCGTCAGTGGAGCCGATGTAGAGTAGGTCGTCTACGTAGACGATCAGCAGGATGTAGTTGGTACCCTTCGTGAGTCGGTAC